ATTCCCCAGCAAATTAAAATATGTAATCAAAGTTCTCTGTAAGTGCTTTATTGCTATGTTAACGTGTACAAAAGGAACCTGAAAAATATGTTGAAGGATATCAACATATTGATTATACAGCTGACTTTCAGAGAGACCTATCTGAATAGAAGTGAAGTATGTGTGATAGTGCATATGCAGTTTTGATTAGTTTGCTTAGCAAACACATCCTTGCAAAACTTTCAGTCTTTCCATCACTGCTCCTTTTCCTCCACTCCTTCCCTCTCCCCAGTGAGCTGCTACTCTTTCTTTAAAGGGGACCAAGAAAAAATTCTGCAAAATTCTGCTAATGAAGTATAAATAGTTCATGGATATACATCTATTAAAATTAATCTCTATTTAATAGGCAACTGATTAGAGGTCTGGAGAAAGTTCTAGTCCAAAAATGAGAAAGTATTTGTGTATGTATAGGTATGAAGGTTACCTCAAGGGTGTTTGAAAGAAGTTGTTTAAAAACAAGAAAAAAAGAAAAACCAACCAAAATAAGCAAAATCCCAGACAAACAAAAAGAAAGCAATACAAGCATAGCACAGTAATAGTTTCTAAGATGGAGAAGATTATTTTGCCAAGATCAAATGGCAAGAGACACATCCTATTGAAAGTGGGGAGAGGTGGTGGTCACCCTCTCTTATTAGAAAGTTATCTCAGGCTACCCATTATACTCACTGACATCCACCTTGCCTTATGAAACAATATTCTGTTGATTCTAGTAGGGGTCCATGCAAAACACAACAGTTGTATCTTGCTGCCCCAAGCCCAAGCTGGCCTTATAGCTAGCTGAAATGCTTGTCTACCTCAGGTGAAAGAAGGAAAAGCAAATTTTATTAAACCTGAAAAGTAGTAAACTTCTTGTTATCATCATTGTGATGATGATGTGAAAGCACAGGCATTAGATTTTTTCCTTCTGCTAATCCTATAGTTCACAAATCTGGAAAATCCTGGTGACTCACATCATTTCACATGGTGTTTTACATTTGATTCCAAAACCAGCACTTAAACTTTTTCCATCTATTTCTGTGTGTTACAGTCTCCTAAAATCTCTTGCATGTTTTATGACTATCTGATGGTATCAGATAGTCTTTAAGGTTCTAATACAGGCGTATAGCAAATGAGAAATACATGTAGTGACGAAAATTGCTTAAGTTGGCAAAATTGTTTAACTTATGCTAAGGTATTGGTATATATGGGTTTGAGAGATAATATACTGTTGCATATTCAAGAGTAGCTAGAGATTACATTACCAACTTGAGTTTGATAGCCTCCAGTGTCTTCATTGCTGAGATAAAATTCAAAACAGGTTTTAATTCCACTGTGTTCCCATTTCCTGATTGTCAGCTAATGACTGCACTATTCCTACACTGGTGACATCAAAATTGCAAGAGATTGCAGTACATTAGCTGAATACATTCTCATACTCAGAAAATATAAAGCAGTATCTGGTGCTCAAATTTCACATGGGTAAATGCGAAAATATGTAACTGAAAAATCCAAAGGATTCTCTAGTGACTTGCACTAAATGAGTAAATTATACTTGCAAAATCAAGTACTGAAGCTGAAGATTGCTGTTTAAAGGAGTTATTTTTTTTTCAGATTAGCTGTGTTTGTTATGCATTCATCAAATCCCAGAGCTCCTAGACAACGTGAATATGTTGCTGGCATAATAAAGTCTCTAGAGGCTAGAGGGTGTAGACATCCCAGTGTAAGTGGGACAGCCTGTTGGCTCTAGCCATGTAGACACAGCCATCTTACCCATCTCAGAGTATATGGCAAGACAGTTCAGAATGCTTCCGATGTTCAGATTGGTTCTTTACAGGTCCTCTTCTGGAACACTTGCTTCCAGGTTAAAGAAAAGCTTAGATTCACCTCATTTGTTTTAAAAAGCAGCAAGAAGTATATACCATTACAGTTTGAAGGGAGAAAATAAGTTCTGACAAATTGGGCAGCACTCAAAGGGCATTTGCCCAGCTGGGATTGCACAGAATAGGTTAGGACACCTTTGTTCAAATAGTTCAAAACAGAACCAAAGCCTTACTGAGACACCAATCTCGAGTGGAAACTTAGAGTCCAATTTTACTCCAACTCCTATGTCTCTTCTGAATGTGGATCTTGTACTGCCAAGATTTGCAGAAACACTTCAGAAAACATTTCTAACACATCCGAGTTTCATCTCTAAACATAGCTTAGGTAGGAACAGGGGGAACAAGACCTATGAATATCTCTAGTTTCATTAGTTGTGAATTCAATAGAAGTTTTCACTAGCATTGGAAAATTTTATTTTGAAAAGGTTGAATAATAAACCTGCATCATCTTTCACAGATATTTATCTAAGCAACATTCATAACAATGAGTTTATATACAGTGACACTGTAGATAAAAACTAAGGATCCAGTATGCTTTTGCTGTAGTGCCTTTAACAGCAATTTTAATTATTTTCTTTATGAATACTCAGATTATTATTGCTTATAATCTTTTTTTTGTCTTGTTATATGCAGTGATGAAGAGGTGAATAATACTCATTTATCTCTGTTTCAACAGGAGGGATATTCGAAACTGTGGAAAATGAACCTGTTAATATTGAAGAATTGGCTTTCAAGTTTGCAGTCACCAACATTAATAGAAACAGAACATTGATGCCTAATATCACATTAACCTATGACATCCAGAGAATTAACCTTTTTGATAGTTTTGAAGCCTCAAGAAGAGGTAATTATCGCAATTACTGTGTCAGTAGCATACATGTTCTATACTACCTTTCCCTAGCCTGTTTCCCTTTTTTGCTCCAGTTGTAACATATTTATATAAACAGTAACATAAAATTAGTCTTTCAAAGTTATTTGAACTAAGAATGAAGCTGGACTTGGACTTGTCATCTAGTTGCTGATAAAACACCTACATACTGTCTGCATGCTAGGAGCCCCAGATGGAAGGTAGCAAGTCCAACCCATTTTTCTTTCCAAAAAATAGATTTGCCACCTGGAATTCAGCAGAGTATGATCACAGACTAACAGGGAGCACAGTGAGATGTCACAACCCATAATTAGCACACACGCACAGATATCCATTATTCATAACAAATTATTTCTATTGTACTTTAAGGAACAGAGGCCAGCAGTTTCCCTGTCCTGAAATATTAATGCTTCAGGGGGTTAGAGACAGAAGTAAATTTCTCTGTTATAAACAACTATAAGAAATGGAGTGGACAAGTTTGGAATTTTTTTACCTTTTCCTTTATTTTTCACAGAGGGAAAAGTATGGTCCCGTTGACTTGCATCAAATTTATTTGCAGACGAAAAGAAAAAGGGGGGAAAAGTCACAGCTCTCCTTAAGTACAACTCTCCTCTTCACCTCTAGGAGGCAACCTTGAAGTTTGCTGAAATCTTACATACAGCAATCTAATTCCTGGAAGTACATGGTGTGCCCACAATCTCACACAACCAAGTCTGGAGAAAGATCCATAAATTGCTAAGACTTTGCAGATCTGCTTTGCAGTTCACTACAACATCTGTCACTGTAAATAGCACAAGATATCAAGATATGCTTGCTATAAGGCAGAAGATCTGTCTGGTCTAAGGCAAATGAAGGCTGGAAAATAAACGTGCTTTACATCACATCACACATTGTGCTAGAATGCTGGTGAGCTGTTGACTACCAAACATTTGAGTTACTAAATTCAGCTTGTGGTACTCCAGTTTCTTACTAAAGACTGGGGGGAAAAAAAAAGAGAATGCTTTCAAAGAACATCGAAAATAGCTTTAAATTCTCTATTGCATTCTTTTTCAAGTATCAGATATATGCTGGAACTACATGCTATCAAAAATCAAGTATGCTGGTTTTATACTCCATAGAATCCAGACTGAGACAGGATATTAGATTCCCTGTAGAGTGAGAATCTGTTCAGTGACTATTGTGAAAGAACCTTCTCCATTAAAAATGTAGGAAGGAGTTCATTATAAATATTTTTGTAAATCTGCATGCAAGGAATCCATGTAGTAATTCTTTCTCACCATGAATTATTGATATTATTTATGCAATTTGCACATCAAAACCTGTGATCCTTTAAGAAGACTTCTGAATTAAACCTTGAAACACTTTGCATATTGGGCTAACTTTAAAACACTCATTTGTAGGTTGAAAACAGGATTTTCTGTCATATTCTATTAGTATCAGAGTGCTAAGTATTAATTTTAAAATCTCAGCTCATTGTGGATATTTGTGTACTTCAACCAATCACAGTAATTTCTGTTATTTCCCGCAAAGAATGACCTTAGAAACCATATAGCATTGCAATTCAATGCAGGTCTTTGTCCCAGTTGATAAAGACCTTACTATAAACATTTTCAGTAAACTTTACTAATGGACAAAAGTAATTAATATTACTTCATCTTCCATCTGTTAGCCTGGAGAGATGTGGGAAGGAAAGAAAAATGAAAAGTTACCTACAGGAGGTATTCTTTTGGCTGAGATATAGGCACAAGGAGAAAGAACCTTTTGTTGACGCTAGCTTTGACTGATTTGGAAAGGTATTAAAATGTCAGTGTGTGTTGGTTCTTTATTTCCCTGTGTTGTTACTGAGGGCTTTAGGCTTTACTGCCTGTTTTGTAAACACAGATTATGGAGTGCCATGAATCAAAGTGCCCTTTAGTGTTTATATTACTTCGGTAGCCTGAAATTAAATCAGCTCACATAGGTAGAAGCTTGCCAGTCACAGAGGGAATCCGCATAGTGTCTGTTGTGACTCCATGAACATATTTCCTGACATGCTGACATGAAACTTAATTCATGTGATGTCCCCTTGGCAAACCTGTAGCCAAGAAAGCTCCTGGTTTCTCCAGGATAATGCCATTCTGTGGAGGCAGTTTGGGAATCAGCATGTTCTGAAGGTAATGAGCAGAGTTGTTTTAGTTTTCATATGTAGCAAGCAGATTCTAGGATATAATGCTAATCAATAAAGCCATTTTCTGGAACCATTTGCAAATCTCTGAATGGGTTTGGGAGCAACATGGTTACCCATTCTCACCTTGAAATGATGGGGATGGATGGAGAACAAACTATCTCGCTACACATCATGCAAGCTACTTGCTTTTGGAAACTAACAACTTCTTCCTCTCCCTCCCTTTCCCCACCAGCATGCGACCAGCTTGCTCTTGGTGTAGCTGCTCTGTTTGGACCTTCTCACAGCTCCTCCGTCAGTGCAGTGCAGTCCATTTGCAATGCACTAGAAGTCCCACATATTCAGACCCGATGGAAGCACCCTACAGTGGATAACAAAGATGCATTTTATATCAACCTCTACCCAGACTATGCAGCCATCAGCAGGGCGGTTTTGGATCTTGTCCTCTACTACAATTGGAAAATAGTAACAGTAGTATATGAAGACAGCACAGGTAAGTAGCACTGGTGCACTGCAAGTCATGTACTTCTATTAATGTACATAAATTAAGAAATTCTGTGAGAGAGAGTGCCTGTAATAGTTCAGTTTGGCATACTTACAGCAGTATTCCCCAGAATATGGAAGAAAAAGATCTCTTAAGGCACAGCTATCCTTCTGGTGCTATGGCTTTTGGAAAGCTGTTCATTTTGCCAGACCTTAAGTTATCACCAGGAGGTAGCTCCCAGATCCTGAATACTAAAACATGTTTTGCTTCTTATTTATGGAACCAATACCATTGCTTCAAACTGATAAATATTGTAGTGTGGGGCTGATTAGGGATTCCCTCTCTCAGTGAGGGGTTGATCTTGAAAGGAAATGCATCTGCAACCCAAAAGTTTAAGCTGCAGCATTTTTAACGTATGGACTACTTTGTTCCTTGAAACTGTCTCAGAAACAGTCAACCCATTTGTCAGCTGGGTACTAAAAACTGAATCTGAAAGTTGCAGTTTGTGTAAATGTTTCCAGCCTGGGACTTTTAACTCAGAGATCATTCATTCTTTGTGAGATGAACGTTCCCCTGGGGCACAGAGTAGTTGTAGCTGTCCAGTGTCATACCATAGACAATCAATATCCATAACACATCCATTTTATTCACAGAACAACAACAAAAAAGAGAATAATAAGCTCATTCCTGGGAACAAGTGATTTAAAAGCTCATCAGAGACCAGCACTTTTTTTTTTTTTTAAACACATGGAGACTGTAGAAGAACGTTGACTTTATAAGGGAGCCCAGGCCATTGTTGTATGTCTTTTCATATCTAGACTTCACTACCCTTGTGGCTGTACTAACAGCCAAAACGTATCAGGCAGTGTCATTTCCCTCACTGGAGTGTGAAGATATTTTTTCTGAGAAAGGTATTATCTGTTATGGTCACTGAGACAACTGTGTGCCTAAACTGCTCTCAGGAGTCCTGTCCGGCAGGATTACAGACCAACATTTATGCTAAACGTGACTGCAGAGAACATAATCTCTCCTACAGTGTAGACTCAGTCATGGACTAAGGGTAAATAATGTGGCTTCACAAGAAAAGGTTTGCCTGCAAACAAACCATTAAAATATCAGACAGGTCTATAGCTCTCCCGTCAAAACACAGGAAGCCCCCAAGCAAGGTCTGCCAACTGATTGTTTTATACAGGGCACAAAGTTACACGTAAGGGGCATCGTATCTGTAGAGATGAAGAAAATAGAGCCAATTAAATAAGAGTTATACTGACAGTTATTCCACTGTAAACTCACCACCATCCTTCAACACTATCTTTTTACAGTAAAGGTGTAGCTGAACCACAGACAGTTCTGAGAAACCCTGTGGTGCACTGGCAGTCATTGGTGCAAGTTAAGCACCTCCCTGGCAACCCTACTCTGAGACTTGCATTTCCCACAGAAGCGTAGCACCGACAAGAGCTCTACAGATGTGTAGGTCACATTTAAATTTATTCTTTGGTAATGGCATAAAACAAGTGTTGATGACCCATGAGCTCGGGCATCTGCCTAAGCTCTAAAACAGAATATGCAATAAAAAAGATACATCTACTACAATCATTTTGTAAAAACATTTCTGAAAGACAGAGCTCCTCAAAAAAACAAACAAACAAAAAGACCCCACAAACAAACTCTTCAAAAACTCAATTTTAAGGCTAAAAATGTTGCATTTATTTCTGCACTGTTGACAGCACAGAAGAAACATGTGTTTCCTCCCAAATCCAAGAGTCAGGTGTCAGTGCCAATATCCTGCTCATCTTGGACTCCGAGTTCACCAGAAGGCTGGAGGTGGAAGAGAAAGAACAAGTCAGGCTGGGCTTGCTGCAGTGCTCTTCTTGCATTTCCGTTACAATGCTTTAGCATAAATAGATTCTGGAGCCCAGGATTTCTGCTGGTCTCCTAGTACTGTATGCCATGATACACTCATGGATAAACAAGTAGAAGTCTTTTTCAGCCTACCCCATTATCAAATTCGCATTCCAAAACATGAAGTGCTATATACGTGTTCAGTTACAAAAGTGACTGATATTAAAGAGACTTCGGTTGCATTTACAAAGTAAATATTTACGAAGTAAATCAATGATCAATCATCTTATTAACTTGGAGTCAGGAAAATAAACAGACCAATTTTGAACAATATAAATAGCCTTTGGATTTTGGGTTAGAGTGACGCCATTTAGCTCAAGCTCTTTTTATTTGTCATCTCTCATGTTTAACATTGTTACGCCACAAAAAAAAAAAACAAAAAAAAAACACAACCCTAACCTATTTTTTTTTCTTAGGGACTAATTGTATGTGAAGAGGAGCTTCATTCCTAAACAAACAACTCATAGTTGTTAACAGTGAACTACCATGATCTATGCCTAGATTATGCAGGTTGAGATTAGCCCTGCTGCAGGTTTAGAGTTTACTTTGAAGATTAAATGTGGAAAATCCTGCTTTCATCCTTCACACTACAGCACTTCTCCAAGCCCACGTGCCATTGAGGCCAGCTTCAACACAGAGGCCACATACTGTCCCTGTTTGCCAAGCTGAGCTTTCCCTCCACCTCCTGTAGTTATGGTTTTCACTGCTGCATGGACACATCCATCAGCAGAAATGCAGTTATGAATCTGGACTGAGCAATGTTAAAAAAATCCCTTCATTTGACTGAGCTCGTGTTTCCGAATGATCAAAATCACTTGTGCTTACACTCTTTATCTCAAACACTATTTACCAGGCTGCCAGTTTTTGTCATCCAAATGTTTTTTCAGCCATAACTTTTCAAGTCAATGATTTTGGAGTGCATACTGAGACAAGAGCACTATAGACATCTGAACACCAGCCTTCACAGACCTCTGCTGTTCAATAAGGCTTTCTCATTGACATCTGCTTTTTGAGATCAGGCAAATGATTATTTTATAGTCCCACAGTTTTCATGAGCAGGCTGTATGATGTATGAAGATGGACACCTCCCGGGGGCAAGTGCTTTACATGTAGGAAGCTTCCTGTGTCAACAGAGCTTGTAACACCAAACAAAGGCACTTAGTATGATACAGAGCTATCATCCCTTGACAGCTTAACGTCTCTCTTAATTATAGTCCCAAGTTTTCATTCTTCAGCATTTTACCACCATATCAGCTTTATTCTTACCTTGTCTAGTGCTTGCACTGGGGTAATCTGTTCCATGTCGTCTCACATGCTCTTTCTGATATTGACAAAACATTAGCACTTTCATCCAATCTTCCAGAACTTATTTAAGGTTCCAACGTTTATCACATTAGTTGTTAAGTGTTAGTAATCTACTGAATGGACTCTATAGGACTGTCAGTGATAAGCAAATTTTGTATAAGCAGATCTAGAAAACTTGCAACCAATAGGGTCAAAAATTACATTTGGAATAGGAAGTACTTATCGCATCCTGCTTCTTATCAAATGTCATGTTAAATGGTACCAAATACATCGTGTTAAACAACTTCACTGTCTTTTCCAAAGGGACCTACAGCAGTTATAAAACTTGTATTTTGTTCTTAAAATACATTTGCAAAATTCCTTCATATTTCCTGAGTTTAACTGATCAGATTTTTACTTTCCTTTCTCTTAGACTTCAATGTAAATAAGAATAATAAAGCACACTACAGCTGGTTTTTATTTCTAATTGCTGTCCTTACTGTGCCATTGAAAGATGGACTTTCAGCCAAAGTCATCTTTCTTGATAGTAAACTAATAGCTTCATTCTCATTATTAATTCCTCTTTATTTTTTATCAAGGTGCTAAAAAAGAGTTAGTTTCTATCAAGGGTAGTGTCTTTGCATAAGGCAAAAAATTGTCTCCTGAAGTTTAAAGATGATCTAACAAATCCTTGCAAGAGACTGCATGATGCACTAAGCATGCATTTCCAAAACTCAGTTACCATAAATTATGGTTTATCTTTCCTCATGCTAGAACTGGGTAAACATACTATTATTTGATTTAATTCAATGGTTTATAATAGGTCTCTTCCAACATCCCACTTTTGCCCTTTGTTATTTGGCACATTGATCTGTAACAGACACGGGACTTCATCTCAGTTAGCAGCAACTCAAACAAAAGCAGTAGCACTGCCTTCACTGAGGTTTGACTCTGCTTTATATCTACTCTGTTTTCCCTGAATTCACAGTTTGCAGTAGTTCTTGAAGTGATATGAAATATTCAGTGTCGTTCAGCAGATTTGAACATTTTACTCAAGTGTGGGAGCAAACCATTTCTCTTGATCAAACCATTACTTGTGATTGGAGATCCAGCTCCAAAGCTTACTGAATCCATCAAGGTTAGAGACCACGAGATTCTTTCCCAACATTACAGGAAATTCCAAACCCTGTTTCTGAAGGAAAAGGGGAAAGTGTTTAGGCGTCAGGGTAAGAGGCAGCAGAACACAGACAGTAGGCCAAGAAAGTTACAGATGCAAGTCTGGTTTCCACCCATTACAGATTTTGTTTTGAAGCCATAAACTGAGCCTTTCCTCTCAGCAGGACTGTATAACTCTTTTGAGGCCCTTCACAGTTCAGACTCAGCCACTGTAGCTTCCACCTGCCTGGACCCTACATCTTTCCTACCCAAGTTCCTGCTTCAGTGCTGTCCTGCATCACTGTTCAGATCACATCACCCACTTCACAGGGAAGGGGGCCAATGTCCAGCATGTGTCACTTCTGAGTCTTTCCCAGCTTGGATGACAGCTTCCTCCCGACCTCGTGGGCAGTCAGTGATGCCTCCTGCCTGTTGCAGGCTGAGTCTCACCAAGATGGTCTCACAAAGTGAAAAAAAAGCCACCACTGTAAGCACTGCACTTGTCTAGGCTGTGCTCCTCCAACACAGCAGGGGTCAAACTAAGTACTTCACATTTAAGGTTTGTCCCAGATCAAGACTTGGTAGTATCATAGCCAAAGGTTTAGATTTGTAGAGCAGGAGGAAGAGGAAGGAAGGCACAGATGGTTATTCCCCTATGATATTAATTATGCTGGCAGTCCGTTGATTTAGGCTTTTGACTCGTCCTCCTAAAACATAACTGAAACTGTTTTCACACCTAAATGCTTCTTTGATTTCTTCAGCACAGTGTAGTCAGGCTTTGACTTCACTTCATGTGGCAGTAGGAAGTGATGTGAAGTGCAACGTCCAAGTCTCATGTGATCCAAGTAGGTATTTTAAGGCACACAGCATTTTCCTTCCCCCAAAAAGGAGATGGGGGTGTATGTGTAAATCCTTTTCTTTTACTCTTGCAGTTTAACACACTTGCACCTAGGTACTTTTTGTTGCGGGAAAGAGGAACAACAATACTCAGTCTGAGGCTGTGGATAATACGCAAGATTCCCCTCATGCTGGACTCTTCCTCCCAAATCTCAGTTTTCCTTCTTAGAACCACCATACGTGTAGTAGCCAAGGCACTGCAGTCAAGGGCTGAATACCTGAGTGCATGGTACAACCAAGCTACAGCCAGACTACAGAAACTCCCTACTTGTTAGTCACTGTTGGAACATGTGCCCCATTCTCATAATAATGAGCTCAAATTGTTTCATATTTACACAGGCTGGCTTCCAGCCAGGCTCCAATCTCACAGCACATGCAGTTATTTACATTTGAATACTCATAATGCTTAATATTCTATATTGATTGTTGATACTTGAAAACCTGCAAAGAACAGGCTCAGCATTGCAGGCGGAGGGAAAGATTATTTTTTTCAAAACACATTGCCAGTACTTGAGTAGAGCTAACAGTCCTCAACATAGCAATCACTTGCTAGCCTCAGAAGAAATATGGATGCTTCATCTTGCCTTATGTATATCATTGGACGATTCAAGCAAGGACACTAACATACAAGACAAATATATACGCACTCCCAGTCGGAGAGCAATAAGTTTTTTCATGTTAATAATTTGTTTGATTTTTGTTAAAGAGTGTTTCTTGCCTGTATCCTCTCTCTCTTTATGCATATTTTTAAGGCAGCCTTTTACTTCCACTCAGCAGGAGATCACGATTTTTTTGTGGGTAAATTACATTCATGGATAATGAGAAAGAGACTGTAATCACACACCTCAAAGGACGCCTAACTATCTTTCTTAGTTTTTCGGAGGCAGTACAAATTACATAGGAGTGCTGAATTAGCTAGTAGAATTGCGCTGTGTTTAAATACTTGGACAAATCTTCAACCAGTTGAGCTCCACTGACTTCAAATAAGCCATGTAGATTTGTACCAGCTGAAGATATAGTCTTAGAAATCATGTTCTTCTTGTGCTTACAGAAATAGAGCTGGATCTCAAAATATTTCAGTTCTTTGTAAGTTCTCAGACTTGCTGAGTAACACAAGTCACTTAATTTCACTGTGCCTTCAGGCTTTTTGTCTCAGAACTGATGATATGGAAAATCTAAGGCTCCTTCTCTGGGGTATTTCAATGTATGCTGGAATGAGGACAATAAGAGCCATATGGATGCCTATTAAGAATAATTATTAGTAAGTGCCACTCAGGCTAACCACTTGTTTCTGAGTGAGCCACAGTGGAGGTGCTGGCCACTGAACATTTTTCTCTCTCTGTCTCCCATTACCTGCTTATGCTTTAGGTAGGAAAGTTAGTGAAGAGGTTTCTTCAATTGTATATCCTTGTTTTTTAATATTCAAATAATAATTAGCTTCCAGGAAAGAAGCAGTATAAACTTTTTGCAAGGAACTGTAGCAATATAGCATCAATGCAAACATATCCTATAGTCAACCAACTGAAAATATATTTCAGAATATTTACATGTTCCATGAAAAGGAAAGTATAACCATGAAAAGGAAAAGCTATAATAATATTAGTTAAGAGGCTGGCAAATAGGAAGCGAACAACTACCCTTTGGGTATGTGAAATATGTTGGGACTGATAAGAGATCCTGTTTAAGTGACAATAAATACTCATTGCGTAGAATGGTTAGTTTTATAATTGCATATCATTTTTCAGGTCTAATTCGCCTGCAAGAGCTCATCAAAGCCCCTTCTAGATACAACATTAAAATCAAAATCCGTCAACTGCCCTCTGGGAATAAAGATGCCAGGCCTTTACTCAAGGAGATGAAGAAGGGCAAGGAGTTCTATGTGATATTTGATTGCTCACATGAAACTGCAGCAGAAATCCTCAAGCAGGTAAGGGGAAGAGGGGTGAAAAGGCATGAAATTAATTTTATATTGTAAAAGTTGTCAGCCTTTCTAGTTTACCAGTTTAGGCCATAGACTTCTTAATGCCAGGGACAGAAGTTGTTACAGAACGTGTAACAGCATCTGAACATTCAACGGGACCAGGGCGTCACAGAGCCATAAGGACCAGCAGCAGTATTATGTCTGAAGAGAAACCCGTAGATATCCTGCGAAAGGAAATATGTATTTCTTTTTAATAGTGCAGGTTCTGCTTGACTAGGAGGATTGTTGCATTTATTTTAGCTTGTCCTGGTTTGATCAAAACAGTTTTCATTTTTCACCCATAAAAAAAGAAAGAAGTACCCCATTTTGGAGTGCTCAGAGAGCAGCTCCCATTGAACTATTGTCTCCACAGAGGCTGCACACCAGGGTCAGTGTTGACTACAGTAACAACAGGGCATTAATCCACTGCAGACAAGAGCGTAACTCTGCATTCACATCCCTATAACAAAGCAAGATGAGGTCTGCTGGCACTACCTTGTTACATTTTAAACTCTGGTACAGCAAGAAGATGGAACACAGAAGGTATCAGAAGAAAAATATATACTTTAAAACAGGAAGAGAAGCTATTGTGAAAGGGTGGACGCAGCCCTGACCTAAGCACGAGGGTTGGATGGTCTCACAAGGCAAGGACAAACGCCACAAAGCCTGATGTTAATCAGCTGGGACGTTAGCAGGGGCACAAAAAGAGTGGTGTAAATTAGAATTTACTGTTGTCACTTACTATATATTTTCAGATAATCAAAGTCTAAAGCACTGGCTCCTGCAATTCATTGACCTATAGACAATAATACCAAGCAAGTAATACGTTGTGAATGGCATTTCCCTTTCTGCTGCAATTGTAGGTATGAGGGAGTTTTGGGTTTGCTGTCAGTTGGTCTTGTAAGAAACACTGATCCCAGAGGAATATCAGAGAGGTTCCACTGATCTAAATGTACAGATATGGGATCTCCCATAAAGGTTAAACCTATACTTCCATCTCAGAATTTTTTGCTGAAATATTAAAGTTGTCCAGAATAGCATTCTGCATCGCAGTAAGAAAGACAGCCTACTGATAGCATTAATCTGCAGAGCCTGAAACCATCCTCTCCAGACTGGAGAATCTTGGTCCTGTGAATACAGACATGCAGGATGGTATCCTAAATCAGATAGAATACCGCTGAGAACAGCACACAGGTTCCCATTAGCTGGTAGGGTTAGATTTATTGCTGTTGGGGAAGCTGGCCTGTACTAAATTTTAGGGTATTTTTGGTGAAAGATATGTATTTAAGCTCCAGCAGGGCCAGATGCAGGCATGATGTTGGGAATGTGAGGGAAGAGCAAGGGGAGGGTGCACAATCACACATCTGCTCTCTCATGGGATAGGTAGAGCACTGTAGCAAAAGGCAGTAATTGGGAAGGGGGTGGACAGGAGAGCTGCTGTCCTCTCAGTCTTCTCCCTGTAGGGCTGTCCGAAAGCATTAAAACACGACAGCAGGAACAAGCTGCTCCAAAATGAGATTTGTGGGGGGAAGAGTTAACCTGACAACATGAATTTTCAAGGATCTGCAAGAAGAAAGTGCAGATGTCTAGCACACTGCAGGAGGCACAAAGCTTCAAAAATACCAGGCTGAGTATTGGGGGGAAAAAAAGAAAAATAACCAGTGTCAAAAGAAGAGAAGTGCTAAAAGATGCACTAAGACAAGGCAAAGTGGCAGAACGGTTTGTGTGGGAAATGGATCGGGGAGACAACTGACAGGCTGCAGACACAGATAATGCTCTCCAATGACTTAAGAACTCAGAGAAGGGTGGGGAAGAGCAGTGTGGGAAAAAACAGGAAAATTAAGAGAGGTACACCTGTGGGTCAGAGCTGCGGGAAAGGAAGCAACATAAATACAGGCTAGAAAGAAAGGGAAAATGGCTTTTATATGAGATAGTTCTTTGGCTGAATGGAGATGCTGGCAGCAGTAACTCAGGTGCTGAAGTTCCTCACTGCCAAAAGCAGCTGTGAAATGGGAAGGTGTGGAGAGCTCTGAATTCACATCTGACTCATCTGATCATAGGTTAGCTACATGAAGTACTATGGTTCACATTCTCATCACGGTACACAGAAACCCGTATGTAATTTTACAATGAATAAAAACAAGATATTAAAGAGAATACTATAGACATTATTTTAGGAAAACTCTGCAATGTTAGAGAATATTCTTTACATTAATAATGTCAATGATTATTGTATCAATTGTATCAATATATAATCCAAGAGATATTATGGGAAAAATACATAACACTGTTAAATTATGTAAGATTTCTAATAGGAGTAGGAATCAGAGCCAACAGTCACCTAAACCTCTCCCCAAAGCAACAATTTCTTGTCTGCCTACCGTATTTACAGCAATGTAGCAGATGTTTAGTAGCCCGTGCAGGAGAAAGTAAATAAAGGAACTGGAGATTTACAGAGGGTTGGGTGGTTGAGGGCATTTTACAGATTAAAACTGCAGCAGAGTCACACAGACACATACCCACCATTGCTTAGTCCTGGTTCCTGTGTCTCCTCACCCTTTGAGCCTGCACGTTTCCTCTCCCCTCCTCCCCCCAAGAAAAAAGCTTCACACAAGGGTCTGCATTTCCCCCCTTCCAAGCCCACGGGTGCCCTCTCTGCACCAAGAACTGTTCCATCTCCTTTGGACAGTCCCCAGCCAAGGTGGACAGCACCCCTCACCTGCTCCAGCCATGTTCTCCTGATGCCAGCCACTAGCCTGCCTCCAAGCTGCTGGCACAGGCAGGGCAGGAAGGCTGCTGCCCTTCTCCCAGCGCTGCCCATGATGCCAGCATTGGCAGCAGCAGCAATTGCTCTGTGAGCACCAGCCACTCCCACCAGTGCTCAGGGGGCACCGGCTGTGGCACGGCTTGTTACTAGGAAGGGCAAGGTATGCCTAAAAGCTCTTTCTGGGAACAAAAGGATTAGCACATCTGAAATTAAGTCGTGAAAGAGCTGACACATGGAGCTGTGTTTGGGATTGTGGAGCTACCTGACCCTGCCACATTACTGGGCTGTGGGATTAGGGGAGGTGACCTCTTCATTTGCCTCCCTTAACCTATTGTTTACAAAACAGCACAAAAGACAGATTTCTTTTCTTAAATGAGACTGTCTTTTGCTTATTTATAGCTTCAACTAAAATACCATTGAGCCACGCTTCTTCCTTGTGCACAACAAGAACAGGCAAATCAATAACCTAATTTAAACAAAATACAAAGCCTGCACACAGCTGAATAACCTATTCCCTAAACTCACACATTTCCCCTTTTCTCTGAAATGCTGCAGAGAGCTTTAACAGTCCCCAACCAGCTTAATGAGGCCTGGCCCTCTCATCACCCAGATCTGGAAGGAGCAAGAGGAGATTGTGATTATTAATTGCTGCCTTTTCCAATAGTCACTTTGAATTTTCTCCCCCTGTTCCCTCACGAGGGTGGGTGACCTCATGTGGCTGGTACCTGGTGGCTAAGGGGGTTATCCAACTCTGTTGCCTGTAACAGGTAACCACCCCAACTGGCAGCTTTGCTGCTTAAAGTGACCTGCTCTACAGGGATCAGGATATTCTGAAATTACTTGAACCTGGAGGTTATGCCAGCAGGGTTTTCAAACAAGATATACTACACCAGCAGTGCTGATTGCAAAAGTTGTAACTGGTCTGACACTCCCATAGTGTACTTTAAAATCTTGGCTGCTGGAGCTTTAAAACTCATGAAGACTGGACAAATCATCTGGCAAGGGGAGAGATCTAGTAGAGAATTAAATGCCAAAAGCAGGAGCTAAGTGTAGTTGTGGCTTCTTAGGGTAAAACTGTGATCTCCGAAGTCCCACACGGGATCTGCTTAAACCCTGTAGGAGCCTCCCTCTTTCACTTCAGCAATGCCTGTCCTGCTCTGCTCCAAGAGTGCCTAGCATCTCTTGCTTTTCCAAGCCTGAAAATAGACATCCCTGAAAGAGTGTGAGAAAATAAGGCCCCCTCCAAACTCACCAAAGATCAGCAGGACTGTGTCCCTTACGCAAGGAAGCTGGAAACATTTTCTTAGGGAAAATCCCTATGGTTACAATGTTCATCTGAAACATTTTGTGGATGGAGATTTGGTGTTCCTATAGACTAGGTAAGCAATCCTACAAGGCAGTTAAACCTAGATACTGCAAATTGCTATCTGTTTTATGCACATCTTTCAATATATCCTGCATATAGTGTATTTAGTCTGATACTGCATTTTTCTATGAGGATTAGTTCAAGAGGTTTAGTTGTTATTGTTAACCCTCAATTTATTCTTCTAACACTAATAGTTGACATAGATTTTACTGCTCGGCAAACTCATCTCTCATAGATTATGTTGCTACTAGCCTTAAATTATCTACTCCTTCCTCCACGCATTTAAAATAAATTTTATGAATTGTACTGTATATTTAATCAGGTTTAGGACACTCATAAAGCAGTTTATAAAGACTTCTCACTTTTACAATGTGACAGACAAAGAGCAAAATAATTCAATTCCTACAAAAGTACAATAACTCTCATTGTAGTATACATTCCAGGTACAAGAATAAATGTGAGAATATAAAATCTCATTTCTTGAGTGTGCTCCTTCTAGTAACTTGATGGCTGAAGCCCACTCTCTGCTAGGAAAAGGCAGGATTAGCTTTGTTCTCACTGCCACTGGAGTCATACCCATGTCATACCCCAGATCCCTCAAGCCCTGGAGTGAGAAACAGATAGATACTCAGCTCACTGATTGTCCTCTCTCTTACTAATTTTATGAAGTGTTTTTTCTGGGGAGATGTTCTCTTTGGGCCACCTGGTTTCTGCTGAGTGGCATCAGATGGCGAGAGCCATAGGTTATTGACACCGCTGAAGATCATTGGCACAGAAATGGTATGGCAGGGGTAATTAAGCCTGAAGTGCACTTCAGTTCCAAAATCTAACTGTAGGACTCCATAAAATAAATGTGGCCATTGCCTCAGAAACTTTATTCTGAGCTTGGAAGATAAAGCAACACAGGCTATTAGTCAGAGCACAGTCCTTTGGGGTCGTGGCTGTGCAATACCATAGCTGCACTACACTGAGACCTCTGCGCCTCTGTTTTTGCTAGCTGTGCTGTCTAGATGAAAGTTACACAACTAGTTACACAAATTTGCACATGTAGTTTTTCTCTTCTGCCTTGGAAGATTCATTAGGCAGTGCAAATGCAAGCAGACTTTCAAGCTGAAAGAGTACTTTCAGTCTTGGTTCTGTGAGATGACGTCCACGCTGGAGTTTGCAAGGTAATGTTCCTGCCCTCTAGCTACCTGGGATCAATTGAAGAAGCAGTAGGAGCCAACCACAGCCGACTGGGGCCCTGGGCCAACACATTCATCCTGCCTTTTTGCTATGGCCCGTATTTCCATCTGGACTCCAAGTATTTACAGATTATATCTTGTTTCTCGATAGGGTTCATGTCCATGTTGGAGGAACTCTGTCCTACTCCAGCTGGACTGCTGCTGTGACTGAGTGGGATGCAGATTTCCAGGGAATTAAGTCGTATCCAAGTAGAGCTGTCTACACAGAGTCCAGGGAAGCCCAATATAAACCTTTTCTATCAAACATTTGAGAAGCAAAGAGGCTTTTATTAATTATGGTGTATCTTGCTGATCTTAGACAACAGTGGTGGTACTAATTAATTGGATAATGAAATGCGTTCATTTAATGGTCATGAAATTAAGTAATAGCATGCGTGAGGAAAATACAAAGTGAAAACAAGCAAAGTATTTGATGCAGTTCCTGCAAATATGCTTCACCATCATTCTGGTTTCAGCCTGCCTTGAGGGAAGACTGACACTAGCACTAAATGAGGTGGTGTTTTTTTTTTACAAGATCAACAAATGTAGGTTGGAGCTTGGATATGATGCAAGCCAGAAACAGGGCACTCAGTAGGGTTTACAGACATAAGACAGAGGTTTTTTTCTCCAGTCTCTATCCACTTGCCATATATATTTTGACCACTGATACTTGTTCATTGCAGTTCATGGCCCACTGAAGTACAGGTCTGGGAAGGACAAGACCCAAACACGTGATCTGAAATGGATAATTAGAGATGGAGTTCTCTTTATCTTATTTGCCAGGATAAGCCATAAGCAACTCATACCTGAGTTTGGATGAAGAACAGATTTTATAAAGGCCAGGTAGGGTAGGAGATCTGCAAGGAGAATGCAGAATGTTTTAGCCTGGTTTCACTAGTTTACATTCATCTAAGTTCCACAGTAAGTAAAAGCTGTTATTATTTAAATAAGACATTTATATCAGATGCATAATTATTTAAATTATTACATGCAAAGTTATTTAAATAAGAATGTGTAATGAAATCTCATTCTAGTTTCTTATGAGCAGCTGCATACACATAAACCAGTCTTGTTGCCTTCCCTTCTCTCTTCTGGGCTGCTCTGCCCATTTTCTCTAGTGTAGAGGACACTTCCTCTGTGGGAAGACCCTGTGCAGCTGCTTTGCCAGGTACTTCAGAGGTGTCCCAGACTGAAAGGAGACTTTGGTCCTAACATGCTTTTAGTACTTTCTCTGTCTTGATGGCTCCTAGCAGCTGATTTCCCTGTGACTTCTGTGTTGCAAACACACAGCAGAAGACAAGTCCTTGGGCTGAGAGCACACAAATGCAACTTTCCTCTTAGACACTAATGGAAGCATCAGTCTCATTAGTGCTTTGGGGTTTCCAGTGTGATATTCAGCATTCCTCTTGCTCTTGCTTTAACTTAACTTCATCTCCTGTTTTCTTAATACCATCCTCCATAGTGGGCATTTGATACTGTCATCAAATCTTCCTTCACTGGGAATTTTACTTAGCAACCATGTTACCCTAAAACATAAAGAAGTTGTTATTATGACAAAGTCTTTACAACCCATGAATAAAACCCACCCTAATTAGGTCAATCTGCAGATCTAACATGTCTCAGCAATGTCTACGTGCTGTATAACTGTTAACTAATTGCTCTAATGATTGTTACAGGGCAGGACAACCAGTTAAGACTGGTCTTGTTAGCAATACTGAGTGAGAAGGCAGAGTTCAGCAGCAGATGAGGACCCAGCCTGGGACAGATCCAGCATCAACTCTTATTCCTTAACCAGACAAGGACATCAGTAATGTGTGCATGATACTTAGAAGCTCTCTTCCAGCCTTCTGTAGCTTCATATCTTAATTGAGTCATTGTTAATAGAGAAACCACAAAAGCAACATGTTGATTAAGCTTTCCTGGGCTGCTTGAATACTTTCTCTGGAAAAATTGCAGTGACCATCTCTCATGGAGCCATGAGATGCAGGGTCCTTGGCAAATCCATGACACACTTCCAGCAATTGCCACAGTGAACCTGTGTCTTGGTTATGGCAGATAACATTGCTGTCTGAACCTCTCTTTTTGCAAGCAACTGCCTTTGGTTTTCAAGGGGTTTGGTTCTGTTTTGTTTTCAAAGACAATCCTATAGGATGACTTTTGAAATCATTATTATTCATAGGCGTGTGTTTGTCCTGCCAGCTCTGTTTATAGCACATTACTTGGGAATCAATACACTCATAAAAAGTTTTAATAAAAAATGCATTCAGGAGGCAAACATTCCTCTCAGGCTACTGCCCTTGGTTTTGTGAGGAAAGCAATAACGGGGCTACCTTGGATTAACTAGCTGGATACCCAGTAGCAGCAGAGCTGCAGCAGCAGAGCTAGGTAATGCTTCCCAAATATCCAGGCTTACACACTTTATAACCATTCTACTTAATGTATCTGTCTAGTTAATGTAAAGTTGTATTTTAAAGCAATATATGTCTCTACATTGTCCTGGTTCTCCCCTTTCTTACTATTTCTACACAGGCAGATTGCAGTTTATATCTTCTGATAACAGAATTGCAATGACTTGCTGTCAGCTCTTCTTCTCAAATTAGAAACTGTAATGGATCAACAATTTAAATCTGGGTATTTGTATCCTCCCATTTACATTTATTACCATGAACTTGTGTTCATACTAATGTAACACCATGGACCATATGCAAAGTTCCTGTAGAGGAAATGTAGGCATACAGAGGTTTACCTGGGCTCAAATTGCATTTGTATAACCTAGTCACTGGTCTGTGCCCCTTAGGAAGTAATTAGGTTATTTCGATATGGTTCCAGCTCAAAAGAAACCTGCATCATAAGAATCCTTACTGGCACCTTCTTCCAATAGCAGGGACCTTAGACACAGAAATCGAATGGTTCCAGGAACCAGAACTGAGACTAGGCAGGTCAGCTGGGAAACACAACATGCAAAAGTTTTCATTGATGCTACCACATATCATTTTTTGTGTGTAGATAGGGAATGAACATCAGTCTCCAGGATGGGTAGATTGCTCATTTCTACAGGTAATAAAATAACTCTGAGAAATAGAAGAGGATTAATAAAATTATAAATAAAAAAGACAATTTTGACATGTAAATTCAATGGAGCATTTCAGTAAAACACTTGCCTTCTGGCTTGATTTTTATTGGCTGGAAATGGATTGGTTGATTGTGATTAAGACTGAGCTGGTTTTATTATCTACTGCAGCTTAGAAAGTTCAGGTTCTTTCATTTTTTTATGAGAGGAATTGCCATACATGATCACACAACTGATTTTCAGAGGCTTTTGGAATGAAAGAGAATTTTGGCAACCCAAATCACACTATTTTCCCCTGACTTTCAAGCAGCTATTCAGGCACTGCTGGAAGTGTCCTAAAATACTATTAATAGCAGATGCTTATGTTACTGTGATCAAGACTGAATAGCATTTAACCTTTGCCTGTGTTACTGTCATGACAATGAATTCTTCAGTAGTTTCCTAGCTCATAATTCCTCTTTCTCTTCACAAGATCCTAGAGAGGGCAAAACGCTGGCTTCACGGTAATAGCAAGCATGGATGCAACAACAAAAGTAGGTGATGTTGGGCTGAAACTGTAGAGCATCCTGTTTTGCACCATCAGGGGTGTTTTACTTAAGCGTTCCTAATGATTTTTGGAGAGGGGCTGAGAGAACAAAACACATCCCCCTCAAAGTTTCCTGCAACGTGAGGGCTGGGAAGAAAAACTTCATCCTCCTGAGGCGGCCAGTCAGTATGCATATAAATGCCATCCTTGCCTTGAAGGCCTTCAGAATGTCTGACTCTGGCAAGTTAATCCAAACCAGAAATCCTTTCCTACAGGTGGTTTTGACAACCTCCTGCGGACCCACCTTCCCCAGGTGGAACAAAAGGCATTTATAGAAGCTTTCTTCTTTTTGTTTTTCTCCTTTACTTCAGTGAGCACGCAGCAGTGTCTTTTTCTCACATGGTAATGCAGAATGAAAAAAAATGCACCTAAGCACTTTTTCCTACAAATTCTGTTGTCTGTGAATAAATTCCTTTTTAACACTTCTAAACTGCAGACTAAAGAGTTTCACTTTTAAAAAATCAGCTTCTCATTATAGTTAGTAATTTTTTTTGTCCTAGAAGTTTTGCAATACTTAATCTCTTTCCTGAGCAGAGGTGATAAAAACATGATTTAAATAAAATGGGATATTTTTTCTCCTGAAGAAAAATGCAGGTTTTACTGTAATCAAGTGTTCATGACCTGTAATATATTGTTCCAGATTAACCCATGTTTTTAAAAAGAAAGACAGTGCAATACACTGAAAGCATCCAGAGTAAATTACATTCATCTTTCTATCTCTTTCAACAGATTCTCTCCATGGGAATGATGACCGAATACTACCACTACTTTTTTACAACACTGGTAAGGAACACATAAAGATTTGGGGGTGAACTTTCCCTGTTGCAGAATAGACAACTAAAAATTTCCACTTTTTCTAGGAGATCTTTGTTGCCATTATTCAAGGAAACCCCTGGAGAATGAGTACTAACACTCCTTAGTAATGTAAGGACTCACAAATTTGTAAGGAAGCTGTTTGGCAGCATCTGTGGGGCTAGCTAACACTTTAATACAATGAAAATTGATTGCAGTTTAAAGAAGAGTGGTGAATCAGAATGAAATAAAATAATGAATTAACAACTTTGCAATGGAGCCAAGGTCAAGCACTGCAGGTGATGTGGTTCATCGCTAAAATGTTTAATTTACTTATAAAAAAACCCAAAATTGCATATGTATGAAATCACTTGGGAAATTTTATAGTAAAAAGAAACACCTTAAATTTTCTTTTCTAGTACAAATCTATAAATCATTATTTCAGCACATTTTTCCTATATTTTAACTTGTATGTTGTATTTAAGTCTAACTCAATCCATACTTAAGGTACATTCGCATTGTAGACTAGAAAGACAGCAAAGAACTAATATTGCTGGAACAGTCCTCAAGAGTTGGATTATATCATGTGCATCAGCTTATTCTTCATTTCCTTTCCATATAAATTTTTATGTGGAAATGAAAAATCATTTTGAATCCAACAGTCACTTCATCAGTCAGGAAAGACTCTCTAGCTGTTTGGAACTTGAAGTAGTAGCTTGAAATTTCTCTTTGCGGACATTTTAATATCAAGAAAATGTGAAAATTTAGGATTTACTCTGGGACTTACAGTTTTATACAATAAACAGTCTAACATAAAATGGTAACCACCAACAACAATATGCATGAGATGGTATAGAGGACATATTAGAACAAGCAGTAAGCAGTACTGGTAGTATCTCGGCACTGTGGCATTGTAAATGCTGACATTTTGATGGTTAGTGTGGTATTAAACCACAACCAACACATTTGTCATTTTACTAGGCTGCCAGGATCAGCAAAAAGTTGTTTTGAAAAACAGCCTTCCGGCTTTGAGAAGCAGTTATCATATTTCCACTACCTGATAAATACAGCTGTGGAGTGTGCCACACAATTATATCACTTAGAATGCCCATTATTTTCCTGCCCTGTAAACACTGAGCACTGAAGCGCATGGACTTACTGTGCCCTGGTCTGACATGTCCATTAGACATACTGGCAGGAAGTCACCTGAAGGAGGCAGGGCAGGAGAAAAATGGGATTCATAAGTAGTAAAAGCCTATTGCTCTTGATGTCTCTTGGAATTTTCCTTCCCCAAGTTGAGAATAAGCTTGACATTGGCCAGCTAATTCCTCATGTTGGTTTGTCAGAGTTGAAACACTGTTAGAGGACTGCCATAAATTAAAATTAGATACTGATGTGCAGGTCGGTTGCAAAATAATGTTGTTGTGCGGAAATGATTTTTACATTCCAAAAAGCAGATATGTGGCTTGTCATAAATTTCGCACAGCCTTGGTTTATTCAGATTTATAACTGAAGCAGTTGTGACAACACTTTGAGGGCAAGCAGATCATTCACAGGGAAAAAACAAAAAGCAAAAACAAAAATAAAAACCCAGCATTTGAGCTTTAGATTGAAAATCAAATACAATTTTAGCCTAATTGTACTTTTCAAACATTTTGCTTTAAAAATACTGCATCTTCTTTTGTTTGTTTTCTTAACGGTGATTTAGGATCTGTTTGCATTAGACCTGGAACCCTACAGATACAGCGGAGTAAATATGACAGGGTTTCGCCTGCTTAATGTTGAGAACCCCCAAGTTTCCTCAGTCATTGAGAAATGGTCAATGGAGCGTCTGCAGGCACCACCGAAACCAGAGACTGGCCTCCTTGATGGCATGATGACCGTAAGTGAACATCAACAGTCATGCAGGGGTGTCTACATCACGCTTCACAGTGCTGTTCTAGCAGATGTGAACTGAACCCATCACTGCTTTATTGCACAATGCAAATGCTGAAGCAGCATCCCCAGAACAGACTTCCTTTCACCTGTTTCTACACAGAAGTTCATTTGCCCTGTGAAGCAACGATGTACTCATCTGTGTGACAAACCACTGCCAGGCAGCTCTAGAGATGAGTGACAATTCTACGTTGTGCTGCCAGCCAGCTAACTTCATTCATCTTATTGTTGTCAAATGTAGATACTGCTGCCTCATTTCTCTAATAATGTTCTCTATGGAGTGAAGAACATAACAGGAAATAAAAAGTTTCAGAGCAGGTATACAATTTATAGCCTGCAGGGAAAGATATTGTACATGTGGACAGGTAATAGCATTTTTAAATTGGAAAAGTGCCCTTTCTCTTCATTTCCATCATCTACAACAACTCTGGCTTTTAAGATATAATTTAAAGATAAATGAAAGGTATCATCAAGCCAGGAAATTAGGATTTCCTCCCTACCACTCCCCCAGGAAGTAAAGGAAAGAATAGGAACCATTACATGGACAGTGTGACTCCATTCAGTTTTGCGGGGTGAAGGGTTGCCATTTTTTTGCAATATAACATAATGTGTCTTACGTACTGAGAGGAGTTCGAAGTGATATGAAATAGACTTTATTGCAGATGATTGCAGGGAAAATTTTGAAAAATCCTAACATCCTGAAGAGAAATGTATTATGCGTGCCATCTCTAGTAGTTAAAAAAAAAATGTTGGTTGTTTGAACAGGGCCATTGTGCTCACTCATACACAAAGCAAGGGAGAAAGCCATCCCTGGGAACTTCTGATGTGAATACAGAAGACCTGCAAGGGTAACCATTCACACATAGCTCTCCACCTGCATTCATCCAACTGTAAAACTAGGAGAAACAAAGTTCTTACTAGACTCCTATGTTCTCCTTTCTGTCTCTGACTCTTATCCCCTCCTTTGCATCTCTATAATCTGTTAGTGTCCTTGACGCTCTGAAACAGCAGGAGCACGAAGGAAAGCATCTTCCTAGTTGGCTGTGATCATTTAAATATTCCTAGCAAGTTCTGCTTATTCAGTTTGATGAAGAGCTGCAATACTGCTGTATTTCATTAGACAATAAGGCCATGACAAGCTGCACAGTGTAAGAAGATCAGGATTAAATGTCCTATTGTTAACTCAGGGTTTCTCCCTTCTGGTTCATGCTATATTGTTTGCCCTGGTGCCAGCTTGTTGGAATTCGACAGGGTATGGCAAAGACAGTTTTGAGTTCATACCCCACTTTATGCCCAAATTGCACACAGAGGCATAGTTAGAATCCTAGAATCACAGGATGGTTTGGGTTGGAAGAGACCTTAAAGACCATCCAGTTCCCACCCCCCTGCCA